ATCAAGAGTGGTGATCCCGTGGTAGATAAAACAGGTCCCCTGATCGAAGAATACAAAGCTCCTAAAGTAGTTTCAAGCGAATTATCAGAACCATTTGCTTCTAATGATAATGTTCGTGGTTCCAAAAGAACTGTCCATAAAAAAATTTTCCGTGGAATAGAAGTTGCATGTAAAAAATTTCAACCTACTAAAGTTACCGATCCCGGACAAGCAAAGGGCGATGCAAAAGTCGAGAAAGCGCTTGATAAAATACAACAAATCGAATTAGCTGCTCTTCTTAAATTAGGTGTTTGCCCGTTTATTATCAATTTTTATGGAATTTCGTATGTGGATAATAGTCCAGTTATGATTTATGATTGGGCTGCATATAGTAATCTGCGTGAAATGTATTTAAAATATGATATTGGTTGGCCCACAAAATTGCAGTTCGCACGTGATATTTTTAACGGTCTAGTATTCATGCATCAATGTAGTCTTTATCATCACGATGTTCGATGCGAGAATATCTTGGTACGTATATAACTCAAAAAAATAGTAATTACTAGTCGATTGGTCGACTAATTAATTTGTTTATCAACTTGATTTTTAGTCATAAACTAATAATTGTTAGCTTATAAATTCTATAAACTTATTGACTTGTTTTTAAATAAATAATAGGTTACTGATAGATTTGAGCCTAAAATTTCAAATTTCGAACTCAGTCGTTCTATACATGGTGTATCTACAGAAATTAAAACATTGTCTGATATTATTCGATGGTTAGCGCCCGAAAAAATGCGAAAACCTTCAAAATCTTCAAAATCTTTGCAACAAAGATATAATCATCAATGTGAAATGTACAGGTAATGAAACATATAACAAGCTTAGCATTACAACAAGTTTTTATAAATTTATTTAACACATGATTTCTTGATCATAGCTTTGGAATGATGCTTTGGGAACTTTGTCATCAAAGGTTTCCTTATAAAGATATGGATGTAAGTGCTATCCAAGAGCATGTTGTAAATAAAAAGCGTGAAGTTCTTGAAAACACTCTTGATCCATCTCCAATTCCAAGAGAACTTTATAAACTTATTAAACGAGGTAAATTAATTTATCCTTGTAATTTATATTTGTTTTAAATTGTCAAATTAATTATTCAATTTTAATTACTTATTTAAAATCACATTAAAATGAATTTTTATTTATCAAGCTTGGGAAGATGAACCTTCTGCACGTCCTTCGGACATGGAAATGCAACAAAAACTTAAAGATCTTTTTAATGAACATGTATTTTCTAAAGGAATTTCCCCTCAAATAAATCCAAAAAGAATCGACTCTGGTGATATTACAGGTTTAGAACTTCCAAGAAGTTTTCAAGAAAAAGTTTGCATTACCGATTCTCAAGAATCTATTGAACAATTTGAAACTCCTGATGAATGCGATGGTTTTGATTTAGATCATTACACAATACCTATGATAAAACCTTTGATGCCTTTTGAAGAAGGTATTAAAGCTCACAAAGAAAAAAAGCACGATATTGCTTGGGAATGTTTTGTAGTTCATGCAAAACATGGAAATAACGTGGCAAAATATTGGCAAGGTTATTATTTATTAAGTGGTTGGGCTGTAAAAAAGGATTATCAAGCTGCGCTTAAGCTTTTTAAAGAAGCTGCCGATAATGGTATACCCGATGCTCAACTTCGATATGCTTTTGCTCTTCTTGAAAATAAAGATGATTTAAATGAATTAAAAGTACAAGAAATAATTAAGTATATGACTATGGCCGCTGATCATGAAAATCCCACTGCTCTTTTTAACTTGGGTGATATTTATTGGAATGGAAAGCTTGGCGTTCCGGTTGATAAAGCAAAGGCTGAACCATATATTAAATTAGCTGCTTTAAAAAGTCAGCCTAAGGCTATTCAGTTTTTGGAAAAAATTAAAGCTGAAAAGGCTAGGAAGTAACTTATTTAAATTATCATGTATTTATTTTTTTTTTGTTTTTGTGTTTATATATTATACTAAATGTAGAATAAAATAATATTATAAAAAACATTAATTCATTCATATATTATGTTATAAACAACTTCTTTCAATAAAAGTTCGAAATAATTATAGTATAATTTATAAAACAAATTTGGTTTTAAATATATATTAAACAAAATTATGGCCAGTAATTCCTTTTTTTT